TGGAAATCAAATAAACGATGTGAGACTATTTTTTATGTAATGCGTTGCGACGCTCGTTCATAAGGTCTGTAGGCGGTAACACTCGTCATAGACGCGTTTAATAAGCGTCATGCACCGAAACCTAAGGATCTGTAAACAATCAATTTTAAAATGTATTTATTTATTACATTATTCAGTTTTATTCATTGGAATTATTATAGAAGAAACTACAAAAGCTGTATTGAATGTGTTGATTAAGCCGAGCCATATATGATATTATCAAATAAGGAAAAATGGAAACAAATAACAAATACGAGTGGCAGTTGCCAAATTGTTTAAACATAATTGACTGTAAACATATCTGCATTCAGAAATATCGAAATTCCGGATCCACCAACTTTAATCGTAAAAACTATCATTCTGTTATTTTGTTTGGTTGTTGTGTTGCTGATGGTCTGTTCTCAACAATAGAGTGCGGATATGCTGGACGTAATAGTGATGGAGGCATCATTTTGGTTTCCACATTTGGTCGCTGGTTGGAAGGCAATAATATTGCCATCCAACCAACTACTTTGCCATCTTTAACAGATCCTCCAAACGATTTCATTGGTTGGCCTATTGCATATCAAGCTCTGTCGGCTAGATCTTTTCTAAACTGTTTTGGTAAAGTATGATTGTATAAACATTGGTAATTTTCAATAAATTGAACAAATTGTATGATTTGATCACTTTCATTTTTACTTCCATTTCCATCCTCTACGCCAAGCACCAGATGCTGTTGTTTGCCGGGCGACTTGCAGCTTCCATGTTTTAGACGAAATCACGACACTTCGTCACCATGTGTAATACTCGTCTATGACGAGCAGTTCCGTATGTAGAAGGCCTAAGACTTCATTCGTTGTCGAATACGATCACAGCAAGAGTGCATAAAGCCTTAGTAGTCTTGTTATATCGTAATTTTCTTTTGGTGAACTGTTATTTGTTATTGTTGTTGTTATAGTTTTATTGTTATTATTGTTGCTGTTATACAGGATGTCCGCTGAGGTATCCGAGAAACTTTGTATATGAATTCTATAATTAATTTTAAGCACAAATGATTCTATTCACTTTTCTCGAATTCCAAACGGTTGTTGAGATATCGACGTTTGAAGTTAACAGATCGTATGAATAGGATGCTAAACAGTACAACACATTGCTAGGTTGGCTATAGATGTTCTTAATGTTGTTAATTGACTAGCGGTAATGTTACATGTATTTTTTATTATTTTGTTTGTTATGTATTATACGCTTTTCTGACTTGCGCAAATACTATTGTATGACGTCGCCAATAAAGGTTTATTATTATTATTATTATTATTATGGAAAAATTGCGGTTTATTTTAATATAAGCTTAATGACACTGCAATTATTAAAGCTGCTCAATGTGACCACCGCCTTGTGCAATGCATAATTCAATCCTTTGTCGGATCTCTCGTTTCCAGTTGTAGTTCTCCATACTGTTTTTTACCTCTCGAAACGCTGCATGAATGTTTTGTATAAGTTGGTCTCTATTATTAGGCTTTCCCGTTGAATACGTTAGTGTCTTCACATGTCCCCACATGAAAAAATCTAGTGGGGTGAGATCCGGAGATCGCGGTGGCCAAGCAATGGGACCACCACGACCTATCCATCGATTTGGATACTGTTCATTGAAGAAATTCGTGACAATTCTTACATAATGGGTGGGAGCACCATCATGTAAAAAGAACATTGTTCTTCTAATTTGAATAGGAATGTCCTCAAGTAATAGAGGTAGATCGTTCTCCAAAAAAGCCTGGTACATTTCGCTGTTCAAATTTCCGTCGAAAAAATGCGGTCCAATAACAACATTATTAATTATTCCAGCCCAAACGTTGACTTAGAATCTACTGTGGAAATGGGTTTCTCGAACAGCATGAAGGTTTTCGAATCTCCACACATGTTCGTTATGAAAATTGTTGATTCCATCTCTAGTAAATGTACCTTCGTCACAAAAAAGAATTCTTGAAAGAGTATCCAGATGATTTCTCCACCACTCACAAAGGCGAACTCTTTGAGGAAGATCCTCGGGAAGAAGTTGTTGTACTGGTTGGTAATAGGGATGCAGTCCGTTTTCCCGCAAAGTGTCATGCACAGCCGTCCTAGCTTGTCCAGTAAGTACAGAAATTCTTCTTTCTCATCAAGACCATACCAGAGTTTTTATCTCCGTTTGTCATTATTAAGTCGTGTTCTCTTATTTTCTTTTTAATATTCCGTAGTGTTTTTCCTCTTGTCTTCCCCTCTTAATGTTATGCTCCCTCCTGTCTCTCAGTTATTTGTTCTCTTCACTCTGTAGAAGGTATTGTATGTCTCTCTTCATATTCGCTCTGTCATCTTCATTTTTGATCGCTGTCTCCAATTCTTTTGCCAGTTGAGATAGGTTTAGTCTTTTGGTGATGGCGTATTTTCCTCCCTTTTCAAGTAGTTGAGTTTCTTCTCTTCCGAATGTAATGTCATTTAAATTGGTGAATCCAGCATGGAAATCATGGAAATATTTGTGGTCTGTTTCGGGTTTCTTATTGTCGCGTTTCATACGTGTGATCTTTTTGTTCTTTTTAGTTTTTTCAAAATAATGGTAAATTGGATGTGTGTTAGTGTAGTTGTTATAATGTCTTCGATTTCCAAATGGTGTAGTTTTTTCATTAGTTCTTGGTATATGTAATATTTATGTCTATCCATGTTGTTATCCATTTGCGTAGTGTTTATTTATTTCTTTATGTGGTCTCTTTTTAGTTTATCAATTTCTTTGTTGTTGTTGGTTTTAAGTTTTCTCTTTTACAAGTTATGAGAAATTTGATATGTAATCTTTCTGTATTCTGTTTATGCATTATATTTGTATAAAATGTTTTTTTATAAAGTTGATACTTATCAAGATATATGCTATATTCCATACATAATGGGCACCCTGTAAAATAAATGTTGATTGGAGAAAATGTATTCTTTCATATTGTTTTACAATGAGTTTTTATGCAAGAAGATATCGTTTGGCATATTACTATTGATATATCCTGTATAGATAATGCCAAAAAAACATTTACTTTCTTTCTCCATATTAGTTTTCATTTATTTTTGTAATGTATTGCGTGAACGTGGTGCGCGTGCGTGAAAGCGCGGGAAGAAAAAGACTTCCAAACGTTAGTTTTAGTTTTAGAAAACAGTCAGTTAGTTTTTGCCTGTCCTAGTGAATGTATCGACTCGAATGTATTGGTTAGAAAATATAACGACACCAGGTCAACCCTTTGTTTTATTTCTCTCTACTCAAACATAACAATTTTTAAACAATATTTATCTTGTATTAACTTAGTTTTACAGATTTCCACAATTAACAAATAAAATGAAATATAAACGTTATAACAGTTCTTTTCTTTAACCTTTTCTTATTATTCCTTCTTATTATCGGTTATTTTATTAGTATTACAATTGAAGTTAAGAAAAAAACCATTTTAAAAACTACCCTCTATGAGACGATTACCATAGTTTTAAAATGTCTTAATTTACCGATTTTAGGTAGATTCCTTTACACAATCTAGTGTATATTGAGGAAATCGCACATTTTCACTTGGTGCAGCTTCCCGCGATAATGGCAACTTTTCTGCGCTTGTACTAGCGTGAAATCTATTCCTATAATATATGTGCAAAAAATGACACCTTTGTTCTCCCGTTTAAGTGTATACTTTTCACATAAATCGCATTATACGAACTCATTTTTATGGCAAAGTTTAGTAATTTTTTATGATTAACAGTCTAATTATTTTACAACAAAAAATACGTCATTTTGTACAGAAATATGTTAACAACAATCCTATGTATTTAGTTTTGAATAAAGATGTGAGAGAAAGCCGCGAAGTTGCACCGAGTGAACCCTTGTCGCCCATATAAAAATCGCCATTAAACGGCGGCCTTAAAATCAATTTTTATAAATTAAACTCAATTAAGTATAATTATATGTAAGTATATATTAAATTATAAACATGCTGAAGGGAAATAATTTATTTTGTTAGAGGCATTTTTTTGATTGTAAAATTGAGGTGAATAAAAAAATTTTAATCTATGCTGTAATAAATTCAATAAATAGTTAGTAAAGAGAAGCCTATTATTGTACAGTTTTGTTCATACAAAACAACTGTAAAATTAGATCTTTTAGATGTAAGTTGTGTTGCCTAAACATGAGTCAATATAGAAACTAACAAATTGGTGATGTAATATCGCAATAAACGCTGACCAATTCTCAATATCTTCTTTAATTGAGTCATAAAGATGACACACAATTAAGAATTATTAATAAATAATTAAATGCAAACAAATTGTATTCAATATTTAGATTAATTGTTTATTAGTCACATATTGTTTTTCTTTCCATTGATAATCATGTTTTTATTTCAATCAAATTCTATTTTAATTTAATAATAAAAAAAAACCATAAGAAATAAAATTAAATTATTAAAGTTATTAATTTAATTAAATTATTTTAATGGCGACATCTCTTATGAATTCGTAAAATTACAAGAAGAAATCTGTAAAAATGTTATTAAAAAAATAATTTCCACGAATTTAACTTAATTTATCATAATTAAACAATATTTTTTATATTGTACTAATAAGTATACTCAAATAAAACAATTTACTTTATTAATCATCTAAGAACAAAATCATCTCGGAAAATATTCGCAAATATATAATCGCAACGATTATTGCAAGATTCTCGTAAAATCTACGAATAAATCTTTCCAAACATTGTGAAAACACCGATGACAAACCCTCTCATTGTGACGACGAATGGTGTAACCATGAATGACTTACACTTAATAAATTTGTGAATTAAACCTCGGGTATGAATGAGAATTTTAAATTTCCCGCGTCGTAAGGAAGCGCGCGACCGGTTCGTTTCGGCACGGTTTCGGCACGGGATTGGTCGACCATTACGTCACGATCGGTCGGTTCTATTTTTAGGGAAGCGCACGCGTAACGTATTTTAAATCCGCCATTTTTAGGGTCTCGTTCTTCGGTTTTGTTATTGTGCGGCCCCGTTTTCGTTTGGTCAAAATTTTATCGAACAGAAACCTCCGAGGAAGACGCATGAGGCAACCGTCGCCAGACGGTTCATCACTACGATACGAATCGAACGCGAATTAGTAAGGATCGTGGTTGTTTCGCGCGCTGTCAAAATTGTAGGTAAACAGGAGCAATAGTGACACCGTTTTAATTTCACCTTTTTCTACCCCCCGTTATTTCGCCACCGTTTGATTCGCAGACATGTGGAAACCTTAGCTCCACTTTTCTTTTTGGAACGATGAAGCTACGGTAGAGGCGACATTTGGACAGGAATTACTGGGATCAGAATGGGAGCGTTTCTAGACAAGCCAAAGACGGAGAAGTTTCTCGAGCAGGGTACGAATTTGTTCATAAAGAAAGTGTTGTACTTAACTAAGGGTTGATTGTTTAGGTGAAGGAAATGGACTCCGGTACGGTGTGGCCAGCATGCAAGGTTGGCGTTTGGAAATGGAAGATGCCCACATGGCGCGTACAAACCTGGGTAATGCGTTAAAGGATTGGTCGTATTTCGCGGTGTTTGACGGGCACGCGGGGGCTAAAGTGTCGGCTCATTGCTCGGAGCACCTTCTCGACACGATAATGGCAACGGAGGAATTCCAGGAGGACGTAATGAAAGGAATCCACAACGGTTTTCTAAACCTGGACAACAACATGCGTCTCCTCCCCGAGGTGTCTTCCGGGGAGGACAAAAGCGGCTCGACGGCCGTTTGCGCGTTTATTTCTCCGCGACTCGTCTACGTGGCGAACTGCGGCGATTCCCGAGCGATTCTGTGTCAGTCGGGAGGGCCTGTGTTCACGACGCAGGACCACAAGCCCAGTTTGCCGACGGAAAAGGAACGAATAGTGAAGGCGGGCGGGTCCGTGATGATTCAGCGGGTGAACGGGAGCCTGGCCGTGAGCCGCGCGCTCGGCGACTACGAGTACAAGAATTTGGAGGGTCGCGGTCCGTGCGAGCAGCTGGTGTCGCCCGAGCCGGAGATTTTCGTCAGGGACAGGGAGGAGTCGTCGGACGAGTTTCTCGTTTTGGCGTGCGACGGTATTTGGGATGTAATGAGTAACGAGGACTTGTGTGCGTACATCCGGTCGCGATTAAAAATTACTAGTGACCTGCGGGAAGTTACCAGTCAAGTAATTGACACCTGTTTGTATAAGGTAACGATACGGCGGATTGCGTTTCCTTCAAATTTATGCCGTCAATTTATAGGATTTCAATTTGGTTTTAGGGTAGCCGTGATAATATGAGTATTATATTAGTTGTTTTCCCTGGAGCGCCTACTGTTTCGGAAGAGGCTGTTCGCGCGGAAACTGAGTTGGATTTAACACTTGAAAGAAAAGTTAAAGGTATTTTATAATCTACCAATGCCGCAATCTATTCACACATTTATTTTTTTAATAGAAATAATTGAACAGAATGAAGACATCCATTTCGGCAGTGTGCTGACGAAAATATTAGCTTTAAATATTGAAGGTTTACCACCAGGAGGAGGTCTGGCATCCAAGTATGTATTTTTTTTAAGTCATTATTTGCTTATAAGAAGTTTATTAGAAATTAAGTCTAGTTTGCAGATCTTTAGTAACAGCTATTAGGGAAATGTTGATAATTCAGTAAAGTTTCTAAATAAAATGCTGCATAATCAGATCAAGATCCTAATTGATATCTGTCTTCCTCAAACCAATCCCTGTTTTATCTTCAAAATGTAGCATTACTTCTAAGTCCTGTTCAACTCTTCTTAAATTAAATCCTGGTCTCTATAGTTTGGTTGATAAGCTCCATCTACTACAAAAAGGTGTTGGCTATATCCTTATTTCATATTGATGATAAATAGAGCTCGAATTTTTATGCAGTCAAATTATAGGAAATATGCGCTTAAATGTGCAAGCTTTTTATTCAAAATATGCAAAAAATATGTGAAAATATGCAAACATATCCTCTTCAGATCCCACAAAAAACCCTTCGACAGAATGTTTTGAAATTTTTACCAACGGTTTCACAGAGGTTAAATAAATTTCTTGAAATTTAAAAAAAAAATATATTTCGAAGAAAACGTTGTCCATTTTAGTGGACAGTAGATTGCAAGTACTACAAATTATTACAAACTGCCTGTTAAGTGGAAACATGATAATCATAAAAACAATTGTGTTCAGCAGTTATACACAGGTATACTTCACAAGTTTCACAAAAAAATTTGGTTTTTTTGGAACAGCCACTATATTTGCATCTCATAGAGTTTTTAATTGACCTTAGTTTAGGCAAATGCTTGAAACCTTGCTTTGCAGAATTTGGAGTTGGTGATGGGGCATATCCTTGGGCATTATTTCTCGTGGTAAGTCACAAGCTGAATGTTGAAGGTTCATTATTATTACTTCCATCAATAAAGTAAACATTAGCTACTTGAAGTTTAAAGTCCAAGAATGATAAAACATCCTTGTGCCTATCGCCGAGTTTTTTTCTATCTTCACGATATAAAATCCAGGAATTTGCGATTGCAAGGTCAATTAGATGTAAAATTGTTTTAACGGTCCATTTTTTGGTTTTAGCGGACATCCTGTAATAGCTAATCATTCTGTCAATGAGGTCAATACCTCCCATAGAGTCATTGTAACTCTTTATTATGTTGGGACGTGGGACTTGTAGATACTTCGACTCCTTTTTAGACCACCTCTTACAATTATCTGATGGATGTACTCCGAGTCCTGTTGAAGCAATCAGAATTGGTTTTTGATCATACCATTGCACAACATTTATTTTTCCATCGCTGCGAACAGTTTGCTCGGAAAAACCGCTAGGAAACTTTTTTATCGTTTTTTCTGGTGTTAAGTGCACTGCAGCAGGTACTCTAGACTTCATAATTGTTCCAGTGCACAAGATATTTTTGTCTAACAAATACTCCAACAATCGAACAGTTGTAAAATAACGGTCAATAAATACATAAGTTCCAGGACTTAACGACTGTATCAATCGTATTACCGCAGATGGTCCTACTCCTAAATCTACATCGCACACTTCTAGCAATGTGCCTTTACCTTGGTAGATTTCAAAATCTAACACTAATCCTTGTGGTGTTGCACATACAAAATTCTTTAGACCTTCAGGAGTAGGTTTGCCTCTGACAAACTGTTTGATCCCACATACTCCTGTAAATGGGATCATCTGTTCATCCATGGCCACTATTTGGCGCCGTTCTAAAGATAAACAACCATTTCGAATTTTATTTATCAGTGGCCTAATTTTCCACAGTTTATCTTTTCTTTTGATTTCTTCTGGTACATCATTATCGACAACAACTTTTAAATGGGTTCTGAGAGAGAAGAACCTTCGTCTAGACATACTTTTAACAATACGCTCCACCCGAGTAGTAGTCGCTCAAAACATTTTAATCTGAGGGAATTTCAAGCATGACGTTAAAATTGAAATTCCAAGAAATTTGTTTACTTCATCTATCGACAAATTCATGGGTTTATTATCATGGTCCAAGAAGTACTTCAAATTGGTACAGGAGCAAATGTTTTCTATGACTGAGTCATCTAGATACATTGTAATGTAATCTTTGACAGACCAGTCTTTTCTCTCCAAACTAGTATCAAACTCTTGCGTATCAAATAGTGGTCCTTGAAACCTGATAACAAGAGAATTTGCTTCAAATAACAAATTGATAATAACCGAACACTTTTCGGGCTGAATGTAACTGAAAGTTTTTTACATACCTTTCAGTCTTTTTCCAAGTTTTTCGCCCATAGCGATTGTTCAATTCACTTATTGGAATATCAAATTCCGGGTCAGAATCTGAACTTGATTCATCTGACGATTGCTCCTCAGCTTGTTGTTCAGCATTCGCTTCAATAGGACCTTGATTGCCAAAATTTCCAACCGTTTCCGGCTCTTCATTTTCAGAGTCATCATTGTCCTCATCAAAACCTTCAATATCAGAGACATCCAAACACGCTAGTAATGCCTCGTCATCCTCTCCAGGTCTAAGATGAGTTTTGTTGCCAAATATTGCTATGGTAGAAATAAATAAAATTGTTTTGAAATGTAGGCAAAAAGATTCCATGTACATTTAAATGGACGTGAACTATTTCTAACCTTACAATGTGGATGTAGCCATAAATTGGTTTAATTAATATGTAGAAGTGAAGAAGGGATCATAAACTACTCCGTAGTACTGATTTTGCACAAGATATTGAAAAATTTTACGTAAAACTTACCGTCAAAAGTTGCTTGTTTAAAGGCACTCATGTTCTTGCACGTTAAAACATTAGTCATCCGTTAAACTTGCACATTAAACCCACAGATGGCAGCAACAGCCTGTACATTTTGATGGACACACGGTTCCCAAAGCATAGAACAATTATTTAACATTATAATGGTATAAAAACAAAGTGTCCATTAAAATGGACCTGGGATCTGAAGAGGATATACATATCTTATAGTTGTTATCAATCTACAGGGTGTCTCAGCGAGACCGGTCATTAGACGTTTCTGGGGTTCTGGCCAAACAAAAAATTTGAGAATACAGACTTAAGTATTATCAATTACGTTCTCTTCATCTAAAATATTTTCAGATTTCTAGCACTTCCGGTTATACCGGAAGTCGCCACCTACTTTATTTTTTTAAATGGAACACCCTGTATATTTTTACATATTTGGATTTGTCTGTTTTGAAGGTTTATAAATAACTTTACTTTTTGCAATTTGAACCAGCAATTCTCGAGTTATTCGAATTTTTCTAGAAAAATTTGCTCCAGCGGACATTTGTTCAAAAAATCATAGAACACTCAATTTTTGAGATATCAATTTAGGATTCAGAACATGCTTAAACAACATGATGGAGTATGTTTTGGTGCCGAGAACGGCTGTCTAGATCGTTTGGTCACTTTACTATGATACGTTAACTTTTCGAAATTTGGAAGCACCATAACTTCATTTTTTTAAATGGCACCCCCCATATTTTATTACTTAGTCGTCTTCGGCGTCTCATTTTACATCTTTTATATTCCATATGTCCTATGCCTAACATTAATAGTTTGAGAAATAATTAGGGTTTTTTGAAAAATGCTCACATATCATATGGATATTAACCTAGTGTGCCATGGAAAACAAATGTTTAATGACTTATTGATAAACGTCAAAGTCTAATTTAGGTTGTTTGATGCTTGTGAGTCTAAAACCAGTTAAAATGGATATTAATAACGTAAATAATGTTTATACAAATGAAGAAATCCATAATTTATTTTTTGTGCACGAAAAGTGCGACAAAGTTCTTAGTAGAACTTGCAGAATGTTTAATGAAAATTATCCACATTTATCTCCGATGACAAAAGGTAAATTTAGAGGAATAGAAGCAAATTTTTTGCATTTTGGACGAATTAATCACGTGTTAAACTGACCAAAAAATGTAGTAGATAATGCAACGGAAGAGGTGAATACCTTGGCTTATTTCGAGCCCAGTCCCAACACCTCAATTCGAGCTGCCAAAGAAGATCTGGGAACCATACTACGAACTTTGTCGCGCTTTTCATGCATAAAAAATAAATTAAGAATTTCTTGATTTGTGTAAATATTACTTTCGTTATTGTTATCGATTTTAACTCGTTTCAGTACTAATATTAAGGGACATAACAGATAATTATTAGCTCACATGCATCAAGTGACGTAAACAAGTGAGTCTTTGACAAGAACTCATTGAGAAGGCTTGTTTTTCATGGCACACTAGGCTAAATATCCATATGATGTGTGCATTTTTCAAAAAACCCTAATTATCTCCTAAACTATTAATGTTAGGTATGGGACATATAGGATATAAAAGATGTAGAATGAGACGCCGAAGACGACTAAGTAATAAAATATTGGAGGTGCCATTTAAAAAAAATGAAGTTATGGAACTTCCAAATTTTGAAAAATTAACGTGCCATAGTAAAGGGACCAAACGTTCTAGACAGCCGTTCTTGGCACCAAAACATATTCCATCATGTTGCTTAAGCATGTTCTGAATCCTAAATTGATATCCCAAAAATCGAGTGTTCTCTGATTTTTTGAACAAATGTCCGCTGGAGCAAATTTTTTTAGAAAAATTCGAATAACTCGATTGCAAAAAGTAAAGTTATTTATAAACCCTGAAAACAGACAAATCCAAATATGTAAAAACATACAGGGTGTTCCATTAAAAAAAATAAAGTTGGTGGCAACTTCCGGTATAACCGGAAGTGCTAGAAATCTGAAAATATTTTAGTCGAAGAGATCGTAATTGATAATACTTAAGTCTGAATTCTCAAATTTTCATTTTCGCCAGAACCCCAGAAACGTCTAATGACCAGTCTCGCTGAGACACCTGTATAGGGAAATGTTGATAATTCATTAAAGTTTCTAAATAAAATGCATCAAGATATTAATTGTCTCTGAGAGCGATTTCTGCAACTGAAAACGCAAATTAAAATTAATATTTGAGTTTAGCGGTCTTGCAATAACCCGTATACAAAAATTTACGGGGACATGTTTTCATTTAAGGGAGTAAAAAAATCCCAAAGTTCTGAACATCGCGTGCGCGCTTGGAAATTCAGAGTTTGATTATTAGGTTGAAAATATGTAAGAACGGATGTGAGAGTGTAGGGGCGCAATCGTTGACTANCAGATTTTTCTAGAAAAATTCGAATAACTCGAGAACGACCGAATCAAATTGCAAAAAGTAAAGTTATTTATAAACCTTGAAAACAGACAAATCCAGATATGTAAAAATATACAGGGTATTCCATTTAAAAAAATAAAGTTGGTGGCGACTTCCAGTATAACCGGAAGTACAAGAAATCTGAAAATATTTTAGACGAAGAGATCGTGATTGATAATACTTAAGTCTGAATTCTCAAATTTTTATTTTCGCCAGAACCCCAGAAACGTCTAATGACCGGTCTCGCTGAGACACCCTGTATAAGGAAATGTTGATAATTCAGTAAAGTTTCTAAATAAAATGCATCAAGATGTTAATTGTCTCTGAGAACAACATCTATCTCAAAGGCATACAAGCATTCCTAATTGATGTCTGTTTTCCTCAAACCAATCCCTGTTTGATTTTCAAAATGTAGCATTACTTCTAAGTCCTGTTCAACTCTTCTTAAATTAAATCCTGGTCTCTATAGTTTGGTTGATAAGTTCCATCTACTACAAAAAGGTACTGGCTATATCAACGGTGGGCAAACTGCGGCTCGCGAGCTACATGCGGCTCTTTGAATGATTATTTGTGGCTCTCGATAAATGTAGTCGGGGTCCTTTTTTTTTTTTTAGTATATAAAATATAATTTCTCTAAAAAAATTGTTTTTAATACCTTTTTTGCATACCTTTTTAATATATACGTATTTAATTGCGGCTCGCGAAAAATTTCGAATTTTGAAAAATGGCTCGGACTATCAAGGAGCTTGGCCACCCCTGGGCTATATCCTTATTTTATATTGATGATAAATAACAAACATTTTTAATTTATTTTATAAAAGATATCATTTCCAAAACAATAAGTTTAATTTTAACTGCAGCAACATTAATAAGAATTTAAAAAAAATACGATAGCAAGGAACCTAATCATAATATCACCATCTTAAATTATGCCAAACTGTATGCAGTACATTTCAAGTCATAACGACATAAATAAGGTGGCAACACTCTCTGGAACACGATTAAAATCGAACATTCTGATGTAATGTATCATTGTGTTGCTTTAAATACAAAAAATTGCAAAAAATAATATTCCATACGGAAATTCTTACATTACATAGATTACATATCGGGTAGGCGGACCAACTAACCTTGCACCGCGACCCAAAGGATCTATTCACTGTGCAGTCCAATGCTCTTAACGAACATTAATACCTTGCTCCGTGAAAAGTCATTCAGATCCTTTGGAGAGATAAACTGCGATCCAAAAATCGAGAATCTGATACAATTAACAGCAGGGCAGTGGCATAAAAGATGCTCAATCGTCTCTTCGTCCTCCGCATTCAACATCGTTTGCTAGACCTAACAAGTTGAGGTGTGTTTTTAATTAGCACTGCCCAGTGAAGACATCCATTAGAACTTTAATGCTGCTATGAACAAGTCCTAAAAAACTCTCGGGTTCGATAGTGGCAATCTTAATGAACACCTTAGCATGTCTCATTCCAGAAGAACTGGTTCACAGTACGCGAAGTCTCTCTTCAGCGCTCAATCCAATCCTATGTTTGGTCATCGCAAATGGTACACCAAGTACTGGTTCTGGCCTCACAAACGCTTTAGTGCGGCCCTCTTATGCTAGCACATCTGCCGCTTTATTTCCAGCAACCCCAGAGTGAGCTGGGACCCCAGATCAGAGAAACTCTGTTATCACAACTCAGTGTGTTTAATGTTCTCTTAACCAGAGCCGCCACCATTTTCACGGCTTGCAGTGCCTGGAGAGCGGCTTAACTGTCTGAGAGAAGTCATACCGTTATGTTCTTCACCCCTCTCTAAAGAAGGATTTTAGCACCCATGTTAATAGCAAATACTTCCGCCTGGAATACAGTACAATATATACCCAGGCTGTAATCCGTTGCTTAATCTGAAATGTCTGACAGTAAACTCCTGCTCCGACCCCTTCCGGTGTTTTTTATCCATCTGTGAACATGCAAATATCTGCCTGAACCAGACAATTTTCGTTTTCGATCCAGGACTGCCATTCAGACAGCACAATCTGGTGTTGAGCATTAATCACTGATAGTGATCCCGTCAAGTCTGACTGCATTGATAGCACAATATCAGTGCTTATAATGTCTTTCGCAGCCCATTGGTGGGACACGTCGTAACAGTTTTGAGCATATTGCTTAAATCTGTAAATGGTAGTTCTAGCCACTTTCTCTATGTGCAAAGGAGATAGGCCAAGCAGAACATCTATTGCTAGAGTTGGCGTTGTGCTTATCGCACTAGAGATTGCCAATCCAACTACTCGTTGAATTCGTAAAAGTTTACTGATAACTGAAGTTTGTCGGACTTTTCTATAACAGGCTGCTGCTCCGTATGTAATCATAAGTCTAACTACAGTCACATAGAGTCAGTACAGTGATTGTCTTTTACGGATTTATCGAGAGATTCTCTCCCTTACACCAAGCGCAAATAGTATCTAGGATCACCTGGAGGACTTTGGATATTGTCGACGAACAGGTTCCTTTGACCAAAACGACAATGTCATCAGCATAAACTTGTATTTCTACACCAACTGTTACGACTATCGCAATCAAATCATCAACCAGAAGAGACCAAAGTAGGGGAGATAACACCCTTCCCTGCAGGCAGCCACCTCCCGCCCTAAAGTGTATCGTGTCACCGTGGAGTGAACTAGAAACTATTCTACTATCAAGCATATCGCGGATCCAACCCGCTATAATTGCTTTCCTTCCACTCTCCTGTCACGAGCAGCTCTTTCAACAGATTGTGGTATTGCGTTGTTGAAAGCACCTTCTATATTCAGAAACGAACAAACAAAGATTTCTTTATCCTGGAGCGTCCTGGATATTCTACCAATCAAGTTGTGTAGAGCCAATTCTGCTGATTTTCCAGCTTGATAAGTGCACTGGTGGCGTGAATACGGATATACCGTTCCAGAACTTTTTCAAGGGTTTTCAACAGAAATGACGTAAAGCTGGCTGCTGGGTTGAAAGACATTAGGAGTAGGGACCGAATGGCCCGTTTTAAGTATATAAGATTACCCTTACCTTAGTCCATTCTGCCAGTACATATTTCTAGCCTACACTCGCTCTGAAAATGTCTACCAAAATAGGCAACAATATTGACCTTCCTTGCTGTAACAAAGCAGGAAAGATATTGTCTTCTCCGGGCAATTTGAACAGCTTAAACGTTTGAATCGCCTGGATGTGCAAGTGCGCTTTGTCATGGAGGAATAGCCCGCTGTGACATTATTAGCCCCCATCATCAAGCCGAGGCTCTGCTGAAGTCCCATCCACCTAATGAAATATTTTTAATCTTTATTCTCTCTTCTCATAATGCTGGGATTTTTCAGTTTCTATTTTGGTTAATCCAAGTAGAAGAAATAAAGCCAACTTTCTAGTTGCAGGAAGCTTATTTATATGCTTATAAATTATCTTGCATATACAATGTGTATGTAAACATTTTTATCTTTTAAATAAGTTGACCGCCATAGCAGATCCAGTGTCTGCTTTACATCGACTTACAAATGATTCAGTATACACACTGCTGTGCATATTTAACTATAAAATATGACATGGTGTTTGCTATGGTGCCTGTTAGCTTTTTCGTATTTACGACAAAAACGTGTTTTTTGGAAATAAATAAAATAATCTTCAAAAATTCTAGTACATCTAACATCAGTTAGCCTCACTTTCTTGAATTAATACATTTTTCTATGATCTCAGTATGAATATAATGCCTATTGTTGATTTGCTTTACCGTAAACCCTTTTGTTCTTCATTGATTCCTATGTGTACGATTTCATTAACTATTATCTTTGTTATTAGTTTTAATATTGAACTTCGGAGGTTTATTCGCCGATAATTGTTGAAATCAGCTTTTTTTTCCTTTAAATATGAGTATCTTAACACTTTGTGGAATATTTCTTGCGAATAAGTATCTTGCTGTACAGAATGTGCAATTGATCAAATGGTGTACTTCCTCCATACTAATAATAATGATGGCAAATACTCTTATATGCATAAAGTGTTGCATTATGATAGCTATTTTAGCTTAACCTTCTGCGCTATAAAGCGTACGAATGCGTACGTGATTAAATATTATTAATAGCGCAGAGGGTTAAATAAATATTTTGCATCATTTTCTTAACTTTTGAATTTTAATTTTTATGTTAATTAATAAATTTTTGTTTTTTATTTTCAGGAAATCGTTAATAGAACAAATATATAAAAAAATTTGTCCCGAATTAGCAGATACAGTAAGTGTAGATTGCGAATGGAACTACTAATCCGAAAGATGATTTAATTCTCTTTGTTGCGACAGTGTCGACATATATATTTTTTATAATTAGACAACATTGCTATTATTTGCGGGAGAATCCCTAATTCTAATTACAATAAAAAAAAATTCGCTAAATGTTTCTTAAACGTTTTTTACTGCTCTCAACCTCAATAATTACACTTAAAAAAAGGAAATAGCAATTTTGTATAATTGTAACTTGTGAACTATTATGTACCGTTGCAATTTTTTTTAATTATTGGTCAATAAAATTTTCTCATACGTTTGTACTTTTTGGATTTCCACATTTTCGCTCTGTTATTATTGTATTAGTTGTTTCACTTTTTTTTGTTGTTCATAGGTCGAACTGTACATATTGTTCATTAATTTTAATTACTTCACTTGAAACATTAAACTTAAAAAATAACAAAAAAACTAAGCAAATTTAGTTAAAAGGAAACATTGTGTACTTCACAACGAAAATATTTGAAGCTTGGATGTTGGCTAGAATTATCATTTTTTATTATGTAGGAATTGTATATAGCTAGTTTTCTTATGTAAAGTGAATGTTAGCCAAGTTTCAAATATGATTCGTTCGTTTTTTTACCGCACAATAAGTCTTACTGAGCGAAATGAAAACAAGATATGTGCATGAATTTTTTCAAATGCTTAAAAAGAAAGATCGAAAATGATTGATTATAACTATTTGAATTATTTCAAATCAATAATGAAAAGTTTATTAAGAAATCTTAAGAGGATATAAAGATAATGATGAAATTCTTTGCTTTGCTGGTTTCGCTTATACATGTCATCTTCAGGAAAATATTTAAGCATTTTTTTTTATTTTCAGGGATTTTTTTGTAACACGAATTTATTGCTTCAGGTCCATATGCGAAAAATATAAAATATGTAAATCGCTAAAATGATGTCGACTTAATAAATCTAGGATCTAGGTTGATAGACATAGAATCTGCACTTGCAATATGACATGCTGTTCTAAATACTGAACATCAAATTGTTTACATAAGTATTTAAAAGTCTTTTTCTTGTTCTTTGTCTCATTGGCCCAATTCGTTTTAACGTTTTAGAGAGCTGTGCTTGTTTATGTATTTGAGACAATGCAAGTATTTTGAATACTTAGAATCGTGTATTTTTACTAAACTTTAATTAATAAGCAGAATTGGATCCAAAGATAAATTTATAACAGTGAAAAGAAACTAACATAATTTAATTCTAGGATAGAAATAAAAAAAATGTAATTATTTCAACAGTTATCCTTTGTTCTACACCATAAGATATTTTTTTATAGATTCCATCTATTTCTGGAAGTTTTATTTTGCCTAATCTCGCATCTTTAGATACACAATGCCGCATTAATAAGAAATTGATTGGTCAACCACAGCGTTTTCTTATTCTAAAATTAGCAACAAATAAAAAATATATATCTTTATTATCGCTCCAATCGAGAGTCTCTGACAGATTAGGAAATAGGGGTTTTTGGTATTTCATCTTGTTCATCAACATCTATATGAACATCTCAAACATCGCGTAGAGTTATGAATTTTAAGATCTGGAAATTCTTTAATATCCTCGTCGGTTTTGATTTTGAATTCTGTCTTCATTGGATGAAGAAGTAATTTGATCCTATTGTATTTAAGTTAAATAGTCCACAATATGTCTACATATTTGAAATATGGACTATTGTTAATGGTAAAAATCCATTAATCCATTAACTTCTATGGTTAGAAATTCTGAATTTTGAATAAATGAATTTTTTTACATAACCATAATGAAAGAAAAGTTTCAGATAACATCTAATGGTTTTTCAAGGAGTGGAATAATATGAAACCGTCTGTTCCCATAATCTATAAACAAGTCAGAACTAGATACCACGCGTCAGAAGTGTGAGTCAGCTTCCTATAAACTACTATTTAATGTCTATACAAATCCTCGATATGAAATAATACAATAACTATGCCTACATCATCGTCCCAAATATGAGTCGTTAATCTGTTAAAGAAAATCATGGCTCAAATATAAGCCGGTTGTTATCGAACGTATCTTTCTTTTCATGTCTGTTGGATGCTGATTTAAAAAAAGTTGGATGCAAAAAGTGGCCATTTTGGCGTTTATGCCGTTTTGACTTGGCAGCGTAAATAGATAAATTGCTCCAAATACTTTTTAATTTGTATAGCGCTGTTTAATTACTCCGAATGACTTCCCATTCAATTCTATTTCGAGAGTCAATAGATGAAATTAAGTAGTGCTGAGAGATATATTACTTAAGTTTAATATATATATATACTTATATATATATATATATATATATATATATATACTTATATATATATAAATAAACTCCTGAAGAGGACACATATTTACGAAACCAGTAATGAATGATAAAATGGACCAAAAAAATAAATGTTTGTGCCAATCATTTTCGATCAAATAAATTAACACATTTTTAAATTTTTACCGCTTTACTACACATTTTACATTTAATACTATATAAAAGAGTGCAGCAGAATTTATTATGTACATAACTTATTTTTTTATGTTGGTTAATTAAAATTCTTTATTAAAAAATGTTTAATGCATTTTAAATTAAAATAAAAATGAGACGAATTTTAATTAACTAAAAAAAATAATTTGTTACAATAAAACAATTATTAATTTTTACAGAATGATCATAACGATAAAGACGATGCCATTTAAAAATTAGAAAGAAAAAAAAGGTTAGCATATTATATTTTCATTTCATTTATTTTTTTTTTTTTCATAAAAAACTTTTCCTAAAAAACATTTTTTTAGATCAACAACGCGGTCTGGTCTGGTCTACAACTCGGCTAAATAAGAATATGTTTTTCTTTTTTGCTATCAAAGATGGTAAAACAGAAATTTAATACAAAAAAAAATAATTAACTCATTGTTTTTAAAAACACTGTTTTTTTGCAAATAAAATTTTCGGAAATTTAATTTTTAAATTTTCTTTTTTAGTTTCTTTTCCATGTACTAATTAATAATAATAATAATAAACAACCATGATCCCACAATAAAAATTAGAATCATGCAAATTTATTAATTCACTCAAAAAATAAATTACAAAATGTATCTCAATCATCTTTGTCATAAATGGCGATAAATGTTGATTTATTGTCATGTTGCTTAACAATCATCTCATATCATTGTTATTATACACAAATGTACAGTTGGTATATAAATGAGAGGTTTTAAGAAAAAAAATGTGTAACAATTTCGGTACACAGTATATTTTAAAAGTTCTATTTTTCAAACTGAACAAATTGTATCGTGGCGTATATTGTATTTAAAAAATAATAAAATAAAGAGTGTAACTGGCATATAATAAATGATATTATTTCAAAAAAATTATTTATTTTCCTTGAAATATCTTTATTTAAAATATATGTAGTAACATAGATTTATAAAAACATCCTATCCATTTACTCACTTATTATATCACAATAAATTATGATTCTATCTTCTTCCTCAATAAATACCTTCATATAAAACGCTAGCTCAAAGATGTGAAATCATAAATACATACGTTTAGATAATTATGTTATGCATACAACAACTATGTATTTTTTAATACAAAACATTTACCCTTCGAATAAATATCAAAATATACATTGATAAGATCTTATGGTATTATTTACAAACGCTATTGACAAAATCCTGATTGACACATCTACGCAATTCCGCTATTAAAGAGAAACAAATCTCACGACGCAAACAAATATTTAAATATACATCATTTAAATAGTAGTTATATAAAAAACATTCCTAATAAGCGAAAAATTTTACATTTTTTTTGTTTTTAGAGTAAAAGGCAATGTATTGAGCTTATATTTATAACTTCGCCTAAGAAAAACACGTCACTATTTATATCACATTTAATGTTTACACTTTGTACATGAAAATATTTCGTTTTCTTCTTCTATTCATAATAATTAGTAAGTGATAAAGTTATTTTAATTATTTTGGACTTAATTTAATAATTCAAAAATTAATTACACTAACTAAATTAATAAACGTGTTAATATAATTAGTTTAGGTATATTTTAATGATTAAAAAGAGTTTGGTCACCGATTAGATTCATAATATAGAGTGCCTTTTTATTATTTACAAGTTATTTGGAAGGAGTAATGATTAAATTGGTCAAATTTAAATTTTAAATATAACGATTAATTTGTTCTTCAAAAGAATCAAAATTTTATTTAAATTCTATTTATTTTCGTCTTCAAGTATTAACTAAAAAAGAATAACATTGAATACAATTTAGTTATTGGACGTAATTTTGTTCCGGATTTTACTTACACAGATCATCATAAATTATTTACAATTTGATTATGATCAATCAATATAGTCATGCAATTAAATAAAAATGTAAACAAATTCTATAATTTCTGATATTTTTTTTGCCATTGATTAAATTAAAGTTTCTTTAATTACAAAGACGTAAAGAAACTGTCATCATAGTGAAATTGTGCACTTTTAATTATTTTAATAGACATTAACTACCTTCCGGTAAAACCTTTCCATATAGAAGCGATCGTTGCAGCCGCGCTATTCATTAAACCACCGGCCATACTGTTAACCTGTTGAGGTGGAATTGTTTGAGTCGATTGAAGAGATGGTGCTGTTGTTTCCAAAATTGGTACATGGGGAACCTAATAATATATATTTTTGGAAAAGTCTTTGCAAAATATAATATAGGTGTTTCAATTATAGTGTATACAGTGAATTTCACTTAAGATGTAATATACAAAAATATATTTCCATAAAAACTAGGGCGTACCTACTTAGTATTGAATGAAAACAAAATTAACCCTTTCAGGTCTGGGCCGGATTTGGTAGCAGTTCTGGTCATGTGATCTAACAATGTAATGGGTTCTAACAAAATTTATTAAAAGAAAAACATGTTGCAGTTCAATATTATATCTTTTCATCTGATAGCTATGTTTAAGTTTCAAGGAAGGTTCCTGCAAAGTCAAAACACAAGATCTGTCAAGAACATTAGAAAGCCTGGAAGGTCTACGACAGAGAGGTGGGCTGCTTCACGTCTGCTTTTTAACATTGTCCTGTCAAAACGGTAGTAAGAGATACAGTATTTTACAAAGACCAAGTATGTGGCGGCTAGGGCTGGTGGTAAAAACATACTAGAACATTGGAAGTTGAGGATGAGAAGATAAAAACGACTAGCAGTTTCGTATACTTGAGATCCCTGATGAATAATAAAAATTCGGTCAGCGAGGAAATAAAGAAAAAGATAATCCAAACCAATATCAATTCAGTGCAACTGCATAGTAGTTTCGTAACTATGGTTACTGCATTCATATATCACGTAATACATTAAATTTCCGGTATGTAACCAGCTGTGTTTTATGTAGACAAAGTTGGAGTCACCTTTGATAGACTTATTGGAAAAAAGTCTGAAAGGAAAAGCCCCTAATCCACTATATTGAGTCGACAATCTAGGTCAAAGAAACTCTGGTCTAAACAAATTCCACTTAGGGTAAAACGCCAGTAATTGACCGTTGGTCAGTGTTTGACCGTTTTTGTAAAAAAATGTAAAAAATAAGGATCCAAGGAATATCTAAAAAAATATAAATATATCCATAAATAGCCACCAGTCTCCTCTCCACCCCCTAGTACACAAAAAGTCCACGACCATACCGTTCTTGAGTTTTTATTGTTTAATTTCGCGCTAACTGCCGGCCTATTC